TATAAATTTATAAATACCTTCTTCAGCGATTAAAAGAGTTGCAGTTTCTATCAGCAATAAGACATTTAATAGTTCTTCTAAAGTTGATACATTCTCCTCTGAAATTTTTTGTTGCCCTAATTTATTTAAAGTTTTATTTATAGGATCCTTTATTTGAAGGAATCGTTTGAGCATGGTTATCAGTGAATTCCACCGAGTTTTGACACCTAACATCAACTAAAATAGTTTTTGTTCAGCATCAACTAAAAATTTGTTTGTTCAGCATTACAAGTACTTTTTATGTGAACTAACCTTAATACATACCAATTTTAAACAAACTGGAAACTGTTATTACATAAAAATATAGCTTAAAATAATAATAAAAAAGTAAAATAGTATAAATCATATAGCAAGCAAAAAAAAAAACTAAAAGGAATTTAATAAAAGATAAATACTGTTCAAGAATCCTTAATGTTACAAAAATTGCAAATAAGAAAATTACAAAACAACCTTTATACTTAAAATTGAAAAAAAAAATTAGAAAATAGAATATTAAAAATATTTAACTTATAATTAAAATGCCCAAGTTTAACGAATATATGCATATAAAAATTATAATTGTCTACTTAATATTACATAAATGTAATATTTAACAGACATAATGTGCTTAAACAACTGAGCTACAAAGTGTAACAACAAACTATTGTTACAAAGAATAGAAAAAAATAAACTAACATTTTCTAAAATAAAAATAAGTTTTCATTCTAGGTAAATATACTGAATTTATTATAAAGATTGTTAATTTAAACTTTCCATCTTTTTAACTCCATGTTTAAAAGTTTTCCGCCATTTGAAAAAAATATTTTTAATTTATTTAAAAATATTCAGATTAGTGGATATTTAATGAAAATTATCCAAAAATGCGAATAGTCAAAATAAGGCGGATTATCCAGATAATCAGATATTCGGATTGGAAACCCTACTGTTGATACAGCTATGTTTTATGATCTTAATAAAAAAACTTTTTGATTGTTTTAGATCTTTCTTTTGAAACAGTTTGATAAAATACCATGACTTTTTGATTGTTTAGATTAGGTCTTTTTTTTGTGAAAGCTTGATAAAAACCATGACTTTTTGATTGTTTAGAATAGGTCTTTCTTTTGTGATTGATAACAAACCTATTATACGTATACAGGGCCTATTCTAGGAAAAAAAATTGGACGGCGGTACCCCCTTGTTCCGGCAATCTTACCCCCTTGTTCCGGCAAGGAAAATAAAAATTTGCTAAAAAAAACGTAAAAAAAAAAGTCCTCAAATTTTAATTTGGGCGGCGCCCAAATATGGTCGACGCTATTGAAAACGGTCTAGAATAGCCCCTGCTATATATACATACTCATCAAAATTAAGTTTATAAAAAAGAGCAAAAAATGTACATAGCTATACACACTGTTATCTATTACAAAATTTTATTCTGTACTAGGCTAAGGTTAGATTTATGAGATAATAATCATGTTATTTTTGTAAAAACTTTGTTGAATTAGTTTTTAAAAATTTAATAGATGAATTGTTACTTATTTTTGTTTTAATTATTTATTTTATTTAACTAGTATTTTTTATTTTGTTTAAATTTTTTATTAAATTGCAATTTTTTGATTTAATGGCTTATTTAATTATATAATTTAATTATTTAATAGTTAGTAAGTTTTTTATAATATAATAATATATTTAAATTAATAAGCTTTTGGAAATTATATTTTGTTTGCTTAAATGTATTTATTGTGGTTAGCTTTTAAAAAACTCCTAAAGAAAGAATATATATCTGCGCTATAATACATATATCTATAATACATATCTGCTCTGTTTTACATTTTTTAGAGATATGCAATTAAGTATTTTTTGGCATCTTGTTAGCGTAGTATACTAATGGTCTTGAACCTGACATGCATTATACTTCTCCTAACTCATATTATGTCAGTGTTGTTTCTTTTGAACTATGCTGAATGGCTTGGCTCTAGTGTCAGTGACTCTGCAGGCATTAAGGCCCACAACTTTTGCCTTTCTCAATCCCTAACTCAAATAGTCAACTTTCCAACTCGCTTTCCAGACAACCCGAATCATTTACCTTCTCTACTCAACTTATGTCTTGTTTCTGATCCTAGTCAGTGCTCAGTTTCTCCACACTCACTCTTAAGTGCTTCTGATAATGGTTTGGTCTCTCTAAAATTATTATCTCATTCTTCTTTACCATCAAAATTCCTCTATCATTGTACATCCTACTACTACCTTAAAGCTGACAGGGACTCTTTCCATGATTTTCTTTGTGATGGCCCCTGGGTAGAAATCTTTCGTCTTCCTGTTGACAAATGTGCTTCTTACATAACTTCATGGATTTAGGCTGGCATGGAATCCTTTATTCCCTCTCGACAATTCCAGGTCAAGCCTCACTCTTCTCCATGGTTTTCCTCACATTGTGCTGCTGCAATTGCTAATCGAAACCATTACTTCCATATCTATCAGCAAAACAATTCTCCAGAAAACAGACGTCTGTTTATTACTGCTAGGAACCATTGTAAAAAGGTTTTGTCTAATGCCAAAGCCCGCTATTCTCAGATCATGAAATCTCGTATTTCATCACAAAAATTAGGCTCTCGTGACTTCTAGAGAATCTTTAATAGTATAAATAATAAGGGCAAGTCTGTAATTCCACCTCTTTTGTATGGTTCAGACTTTGTCACCTCACTTAATGACAAAGCTGAATTGTTTGGCAAGAACTTTTCATCAATATCATCTCTTGATTCCACTAGTTGCGTTCTACCTGATATAGCTGTCAAACAGGTTGATCCACTGCTCGACATCCGTATCACTCCAGCTTCTGTATCTAAAGTGATTTCCTGCTTAGACTCTTCTACAGCTTGCGGCCCAGACAACATACCTGTTATAGTCTTGCAGAAGTGTTCTATGGAGCTGTCATCTATCCTTTCAAAACTATTTAACAAGTGCTTATCAGAGTCTTGTTTTCCAGCCTGCTGGAAAGCAGCATCTGTTCTCCCTATTTTTAAAAATTCTGGAGAGCGATCTGATTCGTCTAACTACCGTCCCATTAGTCTTCTTCCTATCATAAGCAAGGTTTTTGAATCTTTAATTAACAAACACCTAATCTCTCATCTCGAATCTCATATCCTACTTTCTGATCATCAATATGGATTTTGATCTTCTTGTTCTACAGCTGATTTGCTAACATTAATAACTGATAGGTTTTATCGTGCATTAGATAAAAGTGGAGAGGTTAAGGCTCTTGACATTTCTAAGGCGTTTGATAAAGTTTGGCATGCTGGTTTTCTCCATAAGCTTTCTTCTTACGGTGTATCTGGAAACATCTTTAAGATTATCAAATCCTTTCTTTCCAATCATAGTATAGAAGTTGTCCTTGATGGACAGCACTCTTCTTCTTATTCTGTAACCTCAGGGGTTCCTCAAGGTTCAATCGTTGACCCTATACTCTCTTTAATTTACATAAACGATCTTCCAGATATTCTCACATCTAATTGTTCGCTGATGATACTACCATTTATTCTTGTCACGATAAGAAGTCAACTCCCTCTGATTGCTTGCAGGGGGCATCTGAGCTTGAAAAGGATCTCACTTCTGCTACAGCATGGGGCTCACAGTGGCTGGTGAACTTTAATTCAGATAAAACTCAATTTTTTTCAGCCAATCGTTATCGCAATAATTTAGACCTTCCTATATTTTTGAACGGTAATGTACTCGATGAGTCTCCTACCCTTCATCTTCTAGGATTAACTCTTACTTCTGATTTTTCTTGGAAACCTTATATCAAATCCGTTGCAAAATTAGCATCTGCTAAAGTTGCTTCTCTTTATCAAGCTCGTCACTTTCTTACTCTGGATTCTATTCTCTATCTCTATAAATCTCAAATCCGGCCTTGCATGGAATACTGTTACCATATCTGGGGTGGATCTTCTAATGATGCCCTTTCTCTTTTAGACAAGGTGCAAAAACGCATTGTAAACATAGTTGGACCTACTTTTGCAGCCAACCTTCAACCTCTGTCACATCATCGTAATGTTGCTTCTCTTTCTCTTTTCTACAAATATTATAATGGGCACTGCTCTAAAGAGCTAGCGTCTCTTGTGCCATCTACAAAAATTCATTCTCGTGTTACTGGTCATTCAATCAAGTCTCATCCTTTTTCTGTTACTGTTCCTAAGTGTTCCAAAAACTCTTATTCGTCTAGTTTTTTCCTTGAACATCAGTTCTTTGGAATTCACTTCCTTCATCTTGCTTTCCTGATTTATATAATTTGCAATCTTTTAAGTCGTCTGTCAATCGTTATCTTGCTCTACAATCTTCATCTTTTCTCTTCCAGTAACTTCCAACACTAATTAGTGGTTGCTTGCAGCCTTGTTGGAAGCGAAGATGTTAAAAAAAAAAAATGTTATGCCAAGAATAAGCAATCAGAAAATACTGAGAGGTGGCCATATTGGGGTGTTTAGGAAAGAAAATGGAGCAAACTCTATTGTTTGATTAGTTTGTAAGTAATGAGTTTTCCAGATAAATAGTGGTAAAAATTATGTTCTTGATATAGTTGGTTTTGAGTGTAGAAAATGTACATAAGTTTGTTTTTTCAATGGTTACCAAATATGTCAGTGTTAGAAAATGGTTAGCAAATGTTATGTTAAAAAATGGTTAACACAGTGTTAGAAAATGGTTAGCAAATATTTCAATGCTTAGAAAAATTGTGGCTTGTTAAGACATTTTATGCTGTTTATTTTTTATAAATGTAATTATAAAAAGCTTTGAATCTTATCACATTATCAGAAACCCTTGTCTCTGACTTTGCATACCTGATTATACCAATATATTGTTACATGTTGTAATATAACATAAATATTTAAGTTATCATAACTATAAATGATATTCACTATCTAGATTTTTTATACAATTATAAATTTGTATTTTTTTAATATAGGTCATAAACTAAATGTTTATAATCTTTTTAGTTAAAAAAGAAGTTTATAGGCCTCCTTCAGCAAGAGATACTCCTGTGAAGAAACTTTTATTAGTAGGTTTTTTGCTTTATGAGCTAATTTATATAGTTGCATTTGTTTTCTTTTGTGTGACATTTACATGTTAAAAATATGAGCTCTTTTTTTAAAGGGATCCCTAAGTGCTATAAAGATATGATCTCATATGAAAGAGCATTAAAAAAGAAAATGTTTGATGTATATTATTTTTTCTAAAACGTAATAATGAACACACACTAACAAATTTAATTTTCAAAAAAACGCTTTTCTTCGATTAAAAAAAATGCGTCTTGTCCAAAGTTTACTGACTCTATTGCTTCAAAAAACTAACATTTGTACGTCAAAATAAACAAAGTAGACAAAATGTTGTTATTGCAAACTTATTAGTTAGTAATTAAATTTAAAAGTAAAGTCGTTTTTTTTTCAACTAACACATAATTACTTACAAGAATAAGTTTTGTAGCATTTTGTGAAAATATATTTGTATATTAAAATTTTTTTTATAATTTTAATTTATATATTTGTGTTATAAGGGCAATTCCACGGCCAAAAATGAATAGAAGTCAAATTTTAAACTCGTTTTAGTCAGTTTTTAACAAATGAATATTGATTTAGACACATGAAAGTTTATTTAAAATATTTCTTTAGTAGAAAAATAAATTTATTTCAGTCATTTTTATGGTTTCAAAAGTGAGGGTTACTCTCTTTTTTGCTTGATAAAAAAAATAATTATTGTAAAATGTTTTAGTTAAATTAACATTTATGTTAATTTTGCTATATTTTTTGGTTCAAATTGATAGGGTTGAATAGACATTTTATTAGAAATTAAACTAAGACAGGGTTCGAATTAACGCAAAAAAATCTAATCGCGAATTTTGCTCTATCCCCCCTCCCTCTCTCTTATAATTCGCGCCAATGTGCGGTAATGGGGGGAAAAAATTATTGTCAATAAATCAAAAAACATCGTCAAAAACTTAATAAAAAATTAGATACCACGTTTTTTATAATTTATTTTTTCTTGAATAAAGGACTAATAAAAGTTTAAATATAATTAAGTTTTTCATTTAAATGGTTGATGTTTTTATTCAATTTTTCTATTTCAAGTTTTCCAATAAAAGATGAAACAAAAAAATTTGGTTTAATAAATCGAATTATACTTCATGTTTAAAATAAGGCTTAAAAACGTTAAAGTAAAAAAAATTGCTGGTTTTTATTAGCATTTTTATACTGTTTGAAAAAAAAAAACTAATAAAAAAGAATTAACTAATAACATGTTAATTAATAATTATTAGAATTAATAATAATAACAATTAATTTTTTTTTATTAGTTTTTTTTTCAGACAGTATAAACATGCAAATAAAAGTCAGTAATTTTTTTGCTCTAACGTTTTTAAGCCTTATTTTAAACATGAAGTTTTGATAAACAAAGATAAAAACCAACTTTTCGCTTTAACGACCTTGTAAAAATTTTCCACGCAGCGATTTAAAATAATTTAAATTCAAAAATGTTTTACGTTGAAAGAAAATCTTCGCGCGAAAGAGCAGATCATCTATTCAGAATAATAAATTTTGTGTGACGTTCTTTATGATAAAAACATTACTTTTAAGAATTGCTAAAAAAAAATGCTAAGCTTGAAAAAAAGTAATTAAACAACCCAAAAAAAACAAATCGCGAAAAGATTTTTTTAAGAAAAAACTAAACACAAAAGTGTGAAAAGCAATCGCGATTGCGATACGCTTAATACGAGCCCTGTAAGACTTTTTTATAAGTTCTAAACTATTTAAAACTATTACTTAATAACTTTTTTTTAACAACGTCTTTAAACCGAATGCTATTATACTGTTTTTGCAAAACTAATTAAAAAAACTTGATTAAAAACTCAACTATTATCACGCTTTTTTTTACTTGAAAATCGAAGTAGATATTCTAAAGTTGTTGTGACATACTAACGTGATTTTTAACAACTAACAATCGAGTTTCAATGTTGAAAAAATAAAATCAAAATGGAGTTGTTTTTCAGTGATTTTGGCAATTGCTTTTTGTTAGCATGCATTTATTATTACAATTTAGTGAAAAAGAAAAAAAACTTACATATTTTTTTTTATGCTCTTTCATATGAGATCATATGTTAGGAGCACATAAGAGCGAATTGGCATATGTGTGAAATGGCATAAGTGCAAAGCGTTGCAAAAACTGGCATAAGTGTGAAGCGTTGCAAAAACTGGCATAAGTGCGAACTGGCATATGTGCGAATTGGAATAAGTGTGCCAAAACATTTTGCAAACATTGGCATAAGTGCGAATTGGCATAAGTGTGAACTGGCATAAGTGCGAAGCAGTTGCAAAAACTGCCACAAATGCGAAATGGCATAAGCGCAAATTAGCATAAGTGTGCCAAACAAAATTGCAAACATTGGCATAAGTGCGAAATGGCATAAGTGCGAAGCAGTTACAAAAACCGGCATAAATGCAAACTGGCATAAGTGCAAATTGGCATAAGTGCGCCAAACAAATTTTCAAACATTAGCATAAGTGCGAAGCAGTTACAAAAACTGGCATAAGTGCGAACTGGCATAACTGCGAATTGGCATAAGTACGCTGAATAAATTTTCAAATATTGGTATAAGTGCAATTTAGTATTTCGCACTTATGCCAATTCGCACTTATGCCAGTTCGCACTTATGCCAATGTTTGCAAATTTATTTGGTGCACTTATTCCAATTCGCAATTATGCCAGTTTGCACTTATGCCAGTTTTTGTAACTGTTTCGCACTAATGCCAGTTTACACTTATGCCAATTTGCACTTATCCCAATGTTTGCAAATTTGTTTGGCGCACTTATGCCAATTCACACTTATGCCAGTTTTTGCAACGCTTCACACTTATGCCAGTTCACACATATTCCAATTTGCGTTTATGTCAGTTCGCGCTTACGCCATTCGCTCTTATGAAATTTGCGCTTATTCAGTCGTCCCATATTTATCTAGTAAATAATAATACAGGAAACTATACTGTCTACTAGAGTTTAGTTTTTTTTCTATTCAGAAACAAAAAAAATGATTTGCAATATATGGTCCAATCTATATAATTAAAATGTAATATACAGTTACATCTATAAAAATTTAAATATATGGTTATATCTGTAAAAATTTTAATATATTTAAAAATTTTAATATATTGTTAAAATACTTTATATACTAGAAAATTTATGGCCGCCCATGGCGCCCGTTTTTAGCAACCTTTTACACTTGTATATGATAATACATGGATTTATAGTCTCAGTTCCATTCCGTAAATTAACACAAAATCGTTTAGTAAAATAAATACTTCCAACTTAAGTTAGTGATAAATTTGAGACCTGCTAGAGGCGGGCAACAAACCATTGTTGATTTTTTCAGTAAAAATGAACAATGGTTGGTTGCCCTCATAAATCAGATCTCAAAAACATTTAATGGTCGGACATGGCTGTCTGGGGGACAGCCATGTCCGACCATTAAATTAAGCCCTGAATATCAATATGTCATATTCTACAACTCAAATTCTTTCTCAAATCTTCTCAAATTCTAGAAATGTTTACTTTTCTAAACAAGTTTGAGATAATTTGCATAATGGAACTGAGACTATAAATCCATGTATTATTTTGAGAAGGGAAGTGAAGCCGTTGAAGCCAAATAAATCTTATATATATTATGCATACCTAATGAGTGTTTATAAGTGAAAAAGAAATTAAAAGTGAAAAATTAAAAATATAAAAAACAAATTTTAAAAATAAAAAATTCCAAGTTAAAAAATTTCATTAAAGAATTTCTTTATAAACTATATTACTCTTTATAAACTAAATTCATTAAAGAATTTCTTTATAAACTATATTACTATAAACTTTATGTCCCTAATAAAAGAGGGGAGGGGACGTTTTTGAATTTTTGGAAAATTTTCCCACCCACCCCAAGCTTATTAAGACCCCACCCCCCTCCTTTGTTTATTTATTTTTAATTATTGTCAGCAATAGGAATTCTTATTATTAAGCTTAATATTGTAACTTAATAAGTTAATAAAGTTTAAATATAATAATTTTGTTTTGATGCATGATATTTTTTAAGTAATTAACGTGCTTTTAAATAAAATAACTTCCGCATGATTAATACAAAAGCATTATGTCAGTGTTACACTATCAGGGAATCAATGATCTGGGTAAATATATATTATGGTTACATCTATAAAAGTCTGAGAAAAAGTTATAGTTAAATTCAGTTTTATTTTTAACTTCAACACTAAATTTCTTTGCTAAAAATTGTCATTCTTATATGCCATTTTACTTAATCTTATTAAAATGTTGTTGTTGTTTTTTTGTTTTTTTGATTTTCAATGTTTTTTATGTTACTTGTTTTCTATTTATTTTTGTTATTAAATATTTGACTTCAGTATATGCATTGAATAAGGGTTTGGGCAGACAGTATATATAATATAGATCTGCCCAATAAGAATAACTAGAATAAATATCTTTTATATATATATATATATATATATATATATATATATATATATATATATATATATATATATATATATATATATATATATATATATATATATATATATATATATATATATATATATATATATATATATATATATATATATATGAGATTAGGAGTGTTCGATTTTGCTTTCCTTTCGAGAAAGTGGAAATTTTTAAAATGATCCATGTTTTCATAATGAAAAATAAATTGTTTCAATTATACAATTCATGTGACAAAAAAAAAAAAATTAAGTTTTAATGAATTTTCAAAAACTACCAGGAAGTGGAGATACATTGAATTCAATCTATTTCCAATTTCCAGAAAGTGGAAAGTATTTTAAAGTTAATCACTTTCTTTGAGTTTTTACATGGTAATAAAATTTTAGTATTACTATTGATTAAATTCCACCTTCCCTACACTTTCCAATGGAAAGTAATTAACTTTTTATTACTATTTTCTCTTTTTAAATCAATTTCAAAATGAACTGGGATCTCACTTTCTATAATTTATTAGAGTAATAGAATAAAATAGTGAAAACTTATTTAAACCATAGTCTATAGAAGTTATTGCAGGATAACTTCTAAGGCATAACTTCTATTAACTGAGGGAGAACTTCTATTGACTAAGCTTCAATATGTAAATTATTTTGCACTTATTTGATCATGTGATTTCGATATTTTTAAACAATAAGACCATTTTGTCAAAATATTTTTACTTTCCAATGGGAAGTGATAGGACGGTGTAAGGAAGTAAGGTTAAATTTAATTAATAGTAACACTATAAATTTAATACCATGTAAAAATCTAAAGAAAGTGATTAATTTTTAAATTCTTTCCACTTTCCGCAAATTGGAAATAAATTGAATTCAATCTATTTCCACTTCAGGAAAATTAGAAATTTTTATTTTTTTTTGCCTTCAAACGATAAAGTATAGTTAAATAAACATTTTACATTTAAATTAATAATACTTTCCAAATCAGAGAAAACTACTTTCCCAAACTGGTTAGAAAGCAAAATCGAATACCCCTATAATAAATTTTTTTTTTTAAATCACAAAAAAACTTTTTTTTGTAATTAAGTTTTTTTTATCACTAATTTTTTTAATAGAAAATAGTTCATCAGATTATATCAGATCACTGGCTATTTATTTTTTTTTTGTTTTTGTTGTTGAAATAAATTGTTAAAAATAGCGCAAGGAAATGTGGAATTTTTTTGTTTATTACATAGTTCTTACAATTTTGAGGTTAAGTTCTAGTTATTGTTGGGAAATCTTTTTGTAAATAAAAGTTTTGAAGAAGTTTTGTTAACAGATTTTGCTTAACATACACTCATAGATTTGGAAATAGAGGTTAAACATTTGTATTTTTCATAAATCTGAAAGTTTGTTTACAAGTTTTTTTAAATAAAATTTTCTAATATTCTTCTGAATAGGGTTGGTATCAGCTTCAAATGTTTTTTGACAAAACAACTTTTTTTTTTCTTTTTTTTTAAATCTCATTCCCAACAAAGGCTGCAAGCAACCACTATTATGAGTTATTAGAAAACAAAAAATAGTGTTAAAGAGCAAGGAAATGGTTGACAGAAAACTCGTATAGTTGTTGGTTGTATGAGTCAGAAAAACATGAAAGTGGGAGAGAGTTCCAAAGGATTAAAGTGCAGGGAAAAAAACTAGATCAATAAAAGTTTTTAAAGTATGCAAAAGGAGTAAAAGAAGTAAAACTTTGCTGAATGAAGGAAAAATGAGTTTAGGTTGATGGAAGTAAAGATGATAGCTTCTTTGAGCAGTAACCATGATTGTATTTAGATTAAAAAATTAGATGAAACCTTATGACAATGTGAGTGAGGCTGAAACTTGGCAGATTAAGCAGGTTAAATCATGTTTACAATTCATTTTTGGACCTTGGACCAAAAAGAAAAAAAAACACATCAATTGAAGAACCAGCCTAATACGACAACAGTGTCCATACAGGGACAAATAGGAGATTTGTAGAGGTAGAAAATAGAATGAGTTTTGTTAGAGTTAAAGTTCATAAGGCACTGTAACTACATCCCAGGATTTGATCTTGAACAGGCTAGTGTCAAGTTTGATAAAGTAAGACTAGGTTTGATAAAGTAAGACTAGGTTTTGGTTGAGGCTGAATAAAATCTGTTAAATCATAATTTATAACTCACAACCTTTTTTTCATATTATTTTCTTTATTTTTTTAATTTTTGTACTTCTGGCTCTTTATTTTTCTCTAGAAAAAAAAATATTGATAATCAATTATCTGTAACTTTATTTATAACTGTTATCTTTAACTCTATAACTTCTTTGCTCTACATCTTGATCATATCTCCAAAATTGTACAATGAAAACCTAATATCACCTTCTTAATATTCTTAATATTCTTGTTGTAGCGAAAACTTAATACCACTCTCTTCTTTTTTATTTTTCATTTTTCAGAATTCTGCATTTCGACAAAAATTAATATTACAGTTTTTAAGGAGAATAGGAAGGTCGGAAAGCTAAATTATTTTATTAACTCTGATATGTATATACACACATATACAATTACACGCATAAATATGTATATTCTTTGCTGGTTTAGGTCAGCACTTATTTGTGTATATATATATATATATATATATATATATATATATATATATATATATATATATATATATATATATATATATATCAAAAATACTTTTATTTTAATAACTAATGTTTATCAATGTATATCAATCTTTACAATCTATGTTGTTGATTTGTATTGTAATTTAATCCTATTATATTTGTTCGTTATTAATTTGAAAATGTAATACTGATAATTAAATCTTTAAAAAAATTCTTATCTTGTTGTTTAGCATGATGAAGAACCCCCAGAGAATCAACGTAATAGTGAAAACTTATCAGCTGCAGCTATTAAAAACAAAAAGAAAAGAGAAAATAAATCAAAATCCAAACAAGAGGGTGTATCTAATGGAAGCAATGTAGGTTTTTCTAAGGAAAATATTTTTAAACCATTTAAAGTATTTAAAATATAAATTAAATATTATAGTTCTACATATATTACGAGTCTATAAAGTTTAATCTATAGTTTAAATCTATAAATTAACTAATTATATAATCTATAAAAACTAATAAATTAATTAATTCACTTTTTTATGCGAAGAAAATTTTTAAGTAACGCTCTTTTACATGAATTTAAAACATAATTCGAAGTACCATTTATAACATAACTCTATTTGTTACACATCCATTCACCCACAACAATACATAACATAAATGTAGGTGCTAAGAAACTTTAATACATTGACTCATTAGTAATGCTATTTGGATTACTACATTACTCCATAAATATTTACATATCTATGTTATAGAAAAATATCTATAACAAGATGTATTCAAAACTTTAACTCAGTTATAATCTCAGTTCAAAATTGAAGTAACATAACTTCATCCACTTATGTCTTCAATTGATTTATGCTTACTACGTTTTATAAATGGATTTGAAAGTAAAAATAAAGTTGAAAGTTTTAAATAAGCAGTGTTTTATTTTGAATATTTTTAGAAATTACCAGAAGACGCAACTAACAATTCAAGTGTTTCAACAGGTGATCCAGAAATAGATAAAAAGATCAAAGGAATTAAAAAGGTGGTTATTGCTTATAGAGTTCATCTTTTGTCTTAATTGAAAGTTAAATTTCTACATCTTCATCAATATTAATTTAATCGTTAGATATATTTATTTTTTAATTACTAGATTAGAAGTCATAACAAAATAAAATAAGTACTTGGTAATTAGATGATTACGACATGATTTTGAAATTATTTAGAAATTAAAGCAAATAGAAGATTTAAAAAAAAATCAAAAAGATGGCAAAGTTCTTGAAAAAAATCAGGTAAGTTGTTTTATTATATAAAACTAGAGAACATTATTTGTTAGATATCAGAATTTTGTTAGTTTTATATTATTTTTATTTTAAAAATCACGCCTTCATAAACCTTTTATTAATGGTATTTTTTTTTTAAAGAAGGGAGCTTGAGTTATAAACCAAAATTAATTTGGTTTTTTTTTATACCATAATTACTGGAAAGTATACTATTATTATAACTTTTATATTAGTTTGTTTTTATAAATTGAATATTTTTTTGCGCGGTTTATGTTTAAAGGTTTAGATAATTGTAGTTCTTCTACACAGTGGATTCCATCGAAATAGGTGGCGAAAAAAATAATTGTTGTGTTTCTGTCGATATTAAGAAATGAATAAAATAGAGCCTTAGGATAATTTTGTATATGTAATTGTTAATAATTATTTAAAATTATACCCAAATAGTCAAAAGGGAACATATTCAAACATATTTAAATCTATTTTAGTTGAAAAAGTTTCGATTCGTCATTGTTTTTATTTTTATAACAACTTATTAGAAAGCATAAAACATAAAGTATCAATAGGCCCTAGAGCTTTGAGCCCATACTTTACTTTTTTAAAAAATAAACTCTTTAACTTCTTGAAGCATCTTAGTAACTAATAATAAAAAAATCAAAATAATTAAATTTTTTAAAGTTTTTTTATACAAATTCAGCAGATTTATTTCTTAAATAATCCTTTTCATATTTTATAACATATTTTCAGAATTTATAAATTTTTTAAAAGTTAATTAAATGATTTTACTATGAGTATGGTATTATGAAGTTCGATATATTTTTTATGACAATGTAAAAATTACAGAAATATATTTTATATTTTCTGTCAAAAAAATTACGGAAAAGTTATATATATGTATGTATGTATATCATTATCTTTTAGCTGGATAAATTATCAAGCGAAAAAAATCTGCTCGATGAACTTCGATCCTTGCAACTTAAATGAAAAGTCCGTTTTTTTATATAAAATTAACACTATTTTTTATGTATTATTTAATAAAGATTTGTATTAAAACAAACATATTTTAAATAAATTACATTTTACAAACAAAACAAAAATAATATCTTTTACGAAATAGAACTTTTCGTAATTAAGCGGCAATTATGAATCACGTGGTATAATGTTTTTATCGGGAGGGCAAAATTGTAAACAAAACATTTTGAGGAAGCTCGTCGCGTTTTAACATGCCACTTATAAAGTTATGAACATTCTTTAAATTTACCTGTCAAGCAGCTTGTTAATTTTTTAACTGTTTGTGGGTTAAGTACAACTGGACGTAAAGTCGAGCTTGTTGCCAGAGCATTTACTGCAGTCGAGTTAAATAAAGATGTTATTGAGACAGCAGAAGAGCAGGAGAAAAAACTTAAACAATAATATATACGGAAAAACAATTATATAAACGGAAAAACTTAAAGCTTTAGATCTAATTGACCTAAACTCTGTACCTACGGAAAACAGAAAAGACGTCGCTGAGTGGCCTAGTATATAACTATGGTAAACATTTTTTGGTATATCCTGAAAAACTTTTATTCGGAATATTTTGGCAAGTACAACGACCATTTTTTAATAGTGGTTTTGTAGGCCCTATTATGCGCTTTAGTTTTAAAAAAGATATTTTGTTTGTATATTCTGAAGTTTATGGTTCGCAAAAAACCAAGGAAAAAAGAAAACTTTGGGTTGCCCTTAGTAAGTGTGGCATACTTTATGATTGTTATGTATGTAGTGTTCGCGCATGGCTGGAGCTTTCAAAGTTTGCATATCATTGCCATCCTTTATAAAATGGAGTATGCTAACAACAAAGGTTGGTGTAATCCAACATGTACTGAACAAGCGTGTGGTGTGTGTCTGAAATAAGTCCTTTCAAAAAGATATCAAACCATGTTTAATAACTGATCTATGTGGTTAGAAAAGAATAGTAAATAATGAAACATATGGTATAAATAATACGGAAAAAAACGCAAATGAAAGCATTGAAAGAAATTGGTCCGAGAATTCATTGTGACTTTAATGAACATTCATTTGAAAATTTTTATATATCCAATATTCAAATCAAAAGTTAAAACATTTAATAAAATATTGAAAGTATTTCTGATCTTGAGGACTTATCTTTTAAAATACTTTCTGACCATCCTAATGCTGATAAAACAACTTTATGCAAAATATTTTTAGAAAAAATGGTATTGACAGATAAAACAATTAAACATATAACACTAGAGATCAAGCCTTCTATCAAATGGGGAATGGAATACAAGCAAGAGACTACAAAAAAATCTTTGCAGAAGATGTATCAAAACACTCTGATTTGAAAGTTGAAAAATTTGGTCTCTTTATTTTTTATAAAAGACCATATCTCGCTTGGTCACCAGATGGATTTATAGTATCCAAATGCTATGGAAGGGTTTGTTTGGAAGTGAAATGTCCTTTTACAATTTTTAATAAGACAATTAAAGAGGGAGCTAGTGAAATATGTTGCGCTTAGTTTCACTGTTCTTGGCAAAATTTCAAAAAGTATGATTATGAATTATTAGCAGATCAAGACTGAATTTGTTACATGTGCTCCATGTCTACTTTGTGCTCCATGTCTACTTTGTGTTCAGTTCTTTCTTATCAGTCATTACATTTAATTCCTTTATCTAAAACATAGATTATTATAATCAGTTTTTTAATTTTTTTTTGGCAAAAATTTGTATTTCTTTAAAAAAAATTTCTGTATTTGAAAAAGATTTAATAATCAAAAACTGGGTTGAAATTTTCAATTTAAAGTAAACAGACATGATTTTAAAAAAAGCAACTACTAATTTCTTTACATATCATTCAGCTCTTATTGATATAAATTGTTTTTTAATAACAATGACCTAAAGTTTAAACAGTAGTTAAAACAGGAAAAAATTTAAATTCCTTATAATCATTGAGGAACGTTATATTATATTATAAAAAAGAAAAGGGTTTAGCAAACAAATTTTTTTTATAAAAGGCTATTTAGAAACAGTGGTTTTCTCAAGTTTGATATAACTGGGTTCCCACTATTAAAACTAAGACTAAAATTAAGGATTTTAAGGAGATTTAAGGAGATATTTTCCTAATATTTAAGGAGATTTGGACGCGAACGACATTTTTTCAAAAGAAAAAGTAAGGATAATTAAGGAGAAAACGGTTACATTAAAAACATAATCTTATTTTTTTTAATAAATTTTAAATATAAACAGAGAAATTATTATTTCTTTATATATATATATATATATATATATATATATATATATATATATATATATATATATATATATATATATATATATATATATAATAACAAAAATAGGTTTGAAAACTATCAAAAATCTATTTATTATCTTCTTTATTAACAAGTATAATCCATTCACTTTAAAAAAATTTCTAGATAAATAAAAAAAAAATAAAGAGAAATTAAGGAGAGCAGTCAAATTTTAACTTTTTTTAAGGTTATTTAGGGACATTTAAGGAGGTTTTTATTTTTTAAGGATATTTAAGGTTTTTAAGGAGGTGTGGGAACCCTGTATAACTCTGTATAACAGCACGTACACAGTAATTATGTTGTGGTAAACTCTAAAAACAGTTAGTGACAACTAGGCGGTTTGTGATTAGCATAATTTTTAATTAGTACTTAATATGTTTTTTTTTATTTTTATTTTTATTTTAATTCACCTCCTCAAGGCCGAGAAGGCCACTACAGACGAGGAGGCTACTTATTTGTGGCTATAACCCTTTCTCAACTCTATAACTCCGAAACGCGAACTTTGATGAACAAGGACGTGGTGAGGATCGAACTCCGAACCACTCGTTTATGAAGCGAGCGCTCTACCACTACACCACTACCGCATTTATACACGTTTTTAAATGAATATTTGAGGTTTGTAGTATAATATAAATTATCAATTGATTTTGTAAAAAGGAGGGGAAAAAGAAGTTTGTTTAATGATGAGATAGATGAATAAAATTTCTTGATGTGTTTTCTTGCGAGGAAATTACAAGCTAACCGGACTAAAGAGAAAGATGAAGCCGTAACGGAAAAAGAATTATTCATGATTGGTAAAGATAAATTAATGCCTGTGTTATTTTTAAAATACGAAAGTGTTTTATCTTTTTTATTGCCTGCTCTACATAAATGCAATGTTTGATGTTTCTTAAAAAAAAATTTTAATATTTGTATTCCTTAAGAAGCACTTGGAGGTATACAAAGTGTACACTGTTAAAATGCAAGATAAACTCAAGATAATAACAAATATTAAAAAGAAAATTAATGCCCACTTAAGAGTTACATAAGAATAACCAAAGTTAAATTATACAAAATTGTTAATTAAACAACAGAGAATAAATAAACAATCAAATAAACTTATTGCAAAAACGCTTAATCAGTACAATTTAACTGTATGTTCACATCTTTAACTGTATGTTCACATCTTTAACTGTATGTTCACATTAATTCGATGGCGATCACATATAATAGCGAATATGTATTATAACTTATATTTTTAAGATCTTAACCGTTTTTACATTAACTATATTACTTATATTCTTTTTATTTTTGTATTTGAAAAGCAGCAACAACAAAACTCTATTTATACAAAAATTTCGCTCAATAACAAAAAAACACTATTGTTCAAATAGTCGCCACATAGTTGTTATTTAGTTCGTTATAGCCATATTGGCGCTATTTACTGGCTATATCGATCGAGGTATCGGAATGTTGTTTTTCTTTTATGCTAATTCAATTTTCTTCCAATCATTCTTCCCCTCTTTGATAGACTCCAGTCTATCAAACATTTAATTATCAAACTCAAGAAGACACAATCTAGTAATTGGTCGTATAAATTCTTTTTCGCCAATTTTGACTTTCACAACTCTTACACGTCCATCCTTACCTTCAAAGACTCCCGTAATTCTACCAAGTGGCCAATGTCCTCTAGATGTATCTGGAGAAATTACTAACACAATGTCATCCGTTTTTATTTCGCGTTTTTTCTGATTCCATTTATATCTTTTAGATAAAGATGGAACCCATTCTCGCATCCACCGTTTCCAAAAATGACTTGGTAGTTCTTGCACTCAACGCCAGCGCTTTTTAGGATGATAGCCTTTAGATTGAACTGAGTCAGCTGCAAATTGTCCACCAACTTGCCCAATCAAAAAATGATTTGGAGTTAATGGAATATCATCTTTTATATTGGCACTCTGATATGTTAGTGGGCGAGAATTCAATAAACTCGCAGCACCTGTAAATGCCGTACAGAGTTCTTCATCTGTAATATCGGCTTTTTCGAGTATCCCAGTCATTGCACGTTTGACAGCTTTGACCATTATTTCAAATACACCGCCAAGATGAGGTCCTAGTGGAGCATTAAGTGCCACTTGATTCCTTTATCAGCTGTAGAGTTAGTAATTTTATCCTTATCTAAGTCGTTAACAATTTCGTTTTGTACTCGACATCCTCCAACAAAATTTGTTCCATTGTCCGTTAAAAATTCTAATGGTAATCCTCTTCTATTCACCATTCGATAAAAGGCATTGAGGATTGAATTTGTATCTAGATTATAAGCCAATTCAAGATGTACTGCTCGTGATAGTAAACAGGTAAACAAGCACAAGTATCTCTTTTGTCGTATCTTCCCTCTACCTTGCATAGTAAGAAATGGACCAGCAAAACCGATACCAATTCTAGCAAACGCACGTAGTGGTTCTTAAAAGCGCATTGCTGGTAAAGGGGCCATCAGCTGTTGAACAGGTTTACATCTTCTTAATTTACATTTGTTGCATTTTGCTTCTGCATCTCGGATTTCTTCTCGTCCTCGTATTACCCAATATCGTTCTGATAGTTTTGTTAACAATCAATTTGTTCCCATCACATGATTGGCTTCGTCATGGTAATGCTTAACAATCAATTTTGTTATTGTATGTCCTCTCGGCAAAATGATTGGATACTTGACATCGTAGGGTAAGTAATGGGCATTTTGCAATCGACTGCAAGATCGCAATAATCCGTCTTCGTCAATTTACGGATTTAAAGAAATAATTTTGCTTG